GTTCTGACATTATCTCTGTAAAATAATATTAGGAAAGTGCAAGGAAGGGTAGATGAAGCGATACTGGGGCTAAAGCAATTTCCCTATGAGGAAAGGCTACAAGCATCTTTAAAAAAAAAAACCTGTAGCAAGTACAACTGGCAATGCTGTGCTTGCCATATCCAGTTTCCAGCACTGGTTAATTCACCAAGCTGACCACAGCAATTTCAACACCATATCCTGTTTGAAAGGCTGGTTGAAACGGATTCACTATCAGTAATCTTGAGCTATAGTGGATCAACGAACTCTATAACTCCCATGTCCTAACTTCTATAACCCAGGATATCCTAAATGGGGTTTACTCATTAGTACCACATAACAATTTTATGAAATAGGTTAGGCTGAGAGAGACTGGCCTCTCTTGGATATAAGATTTGCATTTTTAAAAGAATTCAATGTACTGTGAATAAATTAGAAAGCAGAAAGCAAGCACTCCTGCGCTCCTACAGCCATTGTCAGAAGAGGTGAAAGAAGAGGAAAGTGTATGAGTTGAGGGTTGCCTATATTAATTAATGTAAAGTTAAATAATCATTTAGTATCGTCTTCAAAGCAAAGCCAATTATAATTTCTTGCATCAGTGACCTCTGTGCCTAAGTAAATCTCTGGATCCGCTTTTTCCAGATGGTTTTCCTATTAACCGCACTACTTTAAATAATAGAAAGCAATAACATTCTTAAATTTATTTGTGAAGGGCACTTTCTGTGGTTCTGGATAGTTTCTCTCTCTACAACAGAGATTCTCTGTCTCACGGGGTTTGAATAATTGTAATTATTTCTTTCTTTCCACTGTTGCCAAGTAAAGGCAATTAGAAAAAGCACATTTCACCCTCTTTGCAGAGATCAAGAGAAATGAAACTTGAAATCAGCATTTAAATGTAGGTTTGCAAATAAACCTTCAGAAAGTAAAGTAGGAGAGGAATATATTGCTTTGCAGTTTAGTGGGGTTTATATTTCCCACTTCTATAGTACGTTGAAAAACAATAATGTTGAAATTAATGAAACTGTACATCCCAATCTGACAATTTAGTGGAATGGGAATATATTATTATTACCCCATAGTGTAACTGGAAAGCTCTAGGAATTTATCTGTCCCACACTCAATTAAGATCCAATGTTAATATCTTCTTATTGAAGTCTGCCCTGACCACAGAACTTCACGTACTTAAGAGTTATGCTTAGGACTAATGTTTATGAGAGAGGCCCAATGTAGACATATCTTGTATGGCCTTTTGTCCTGAGACCTCCAGGCATAAACCACAGCTAAGCAAACTAAGATGGAATTGGGCTGTTGGTTTGATTTCCGAGCTTGGCAATTTGACTGCAAACATTTTGTCTCCATTCGGGGGGACATCTTCAGTGCGCTTTGAAGACGTTTTGCTTCTCATCTAAGAAGCTTTTTCAGCTCTGACTGGATGGTGGGGAATGGCAGGATTAATACTCCTTGCAGACAGCTGGTCATTTGCATTCTTTTAGAGAGTCATTGATGCCACCTGGAGTCTTATCTGTGTTGTCAGGGTCACCTGAGTAGTGCAAATGGGTGTGGAGCCTTCTTAGAAATATTGAAAGAACTGTGTTGTAGACTGGGGATAGATTATGCCATATCCCTCCTCTCTATTGAGAGAAAGCTGTTCAATTTTGACATAGATGGCCTCTTTGACCCCTCTTTCAAACCAGTGGTCCTGTCCAAGTGGACTTTTTTTAAAAGAGTGGCCTTTGTCTTTTAAATGCAGATGGACTGCTAAATCTTGTCCTGATGGGTTTGTTCTCCTATGTTGTGCCATACATTTATGAAATGGTTGTTTTGTTTCCCCAATATTCAGATCTGCACATGGCTCACTGCATATACCACATTGCTCAGTTTGTGTCTGGGTGTTTTGTCCTTGGGGTGGACCAGCTTCTGCCTGAGTGTATTCTTGGATTTGAAGTGTGCAGGTATGTTGTGTTGGCTGAAGATCCTCCTGAGCTTTTCCGATATTCCTGCAACATATGGAATAACTATATTGCTTCGTTTATTGTTTTCTTCTTTGTCTGTTATGGGGGAGCTTCTGTTGGGTCTTTTTTGGGATTTGATGAAGGCACTCTTGGGATAGCCACAAGTTCTGAGGGCTTCCTTGATGTATTTTAGTTCTTTTTCTTTTCCATCTTTGCTAGTAAGCGGCCTTCAGCTCAGTGGTGTAGGGTTCCGGTAACTCCCATTTTGTGCTCCAGTGGGTGGTGAGAATCAAAATGTAAATATTGATCTGTGTGTGTGGGGGGGGGGTTTCTGTAAATTGCAATGTTAAGGCTTCTGTCTTCCTTAATGTATATTGCACAGTGCAGGAAGGCTAGACTATTTTCCTTAACGTCTTCATGTGTAAATTTGATCTATCTGTCCACTGAGTTGATATGTTTGGTGAATGCTTCCAATTCCTGTGTCTTGATCTTGACCCAAGTATCATCCACATACCTATACTAGTGAATGGATGGAATTCCTTTGAAGGAGTTTAGGGCTTTGGTTTCTACCTCTTCCATGTAAAGATTGGTCACAATGCCAAGGACACAGGTGAACTCAAAGTGCAGCCGTGTTTTTGTCTGTAGAAACCTTCACTGTATTTAAATAGGTAGTGGTCAGGCAGAGGTCCAGCATGGCACATATGTAGTCTGGATTGAGGTTGGTTCTGTCATCTAAGGTGTTGTCTTGTATCAGTCATTCCTTCACTATCGTGACAGCTTCATTTGTAGGAATGCAGGTGAAGAGGGAAGTCACATCATAGGAAACCATGGTCTCATCTGGGTCCAGTTTTAATTTCCAAACCTTGCTGGTGAAGTGGTGAATTGCTCATATATTTGAACACTATATTCCAAGAACACTTCAGAATCACCTTCAAATGTGGGTCACATTTAATTTTTAAGTCAATTTTAATGTTAATATTTATTATTTTAATGTTCGGTGTTGTTTTTATTTGGTTGTAAGCTGCTTAGAGTCACTTCTGGGCAAGATGGGCGGCATATAAATTTAATAAATAATGAGTTAAATTTGTTAAGCAGCTGTAGCTCAAGAGCTTCCATGTTTGGGTTGTTATATGATATTCCATAGCTAAGAAAACAAATTGATGGATCATGGAACAAACTGTCCCAGAATTTTCACTCAAGGTATAATGTCCAGGCTCAAATTATCACACTTTGGATACATTATACAAAAATAAAAAATAAAAACAGCTCTCTGTGAAAAACTCTAGTGCTAGAAAAGGTGAAGGAAAGAGTATGTCCAGCAGCAAAGTAGGTAGTCTCAGTTCCAGTAGTGATTAGTGCATTGTAGGAAGACCAGATTGGTCATAGATCATCCTGGAGAAAAATGTATGAGGTTGCTAAGAGTCAACAACAGCTTGATGGCACACCAATCAATGATATTCCCAAATTCTTCCCTATTTCTGAAGAAGTACACTAAAAAGGCAAAGCAACAGAGACAGTATTTTCACCTGATGTACAAATGAACTGAATGGTGAACTGAAGCCATTTTAAGATCCATTTCAGCAGGACTCCTACTAAAGTTGTTCTGGAAGCACAAAGATGATGATCCCTCCCCCCGCTTTCCGAATGCTTTGTTGCTATGCATGTACTTCTAATGATCCCTGTAACTGTTGTCGGTGGGGAGGGGGGAACAGTTTAGCCAACCTAGTAAAAAAAAAACACATCTATGTACCATGAGAAACTTGTCAGCTTGCAACTAGCAGCTCAAAGCTTTACAACCGAGAAGGCAGCATGCAACTGTATCATTTTGGTGGCTAAAAGAGATAAAACATGTCAGATGGTATGCAAATCGAAAAAAGTTTATTTCAATGCATAAAACAAGCCCTCTAAGCTGTTATTTGCTGTATTTATGTTTCTCATTTTTAGTGGAGCAATAGAGAAGAACAGAAAACGGGCAGCATTTACCGAGGTCTTTCAAAATGTTGGCCCATGAGAAAGATTGCGGCGCTGTCATTTTGAGTTTGCCCCTTACATAAGAAAATGGGGCAAAGGTGCGGGGCACAGTACTGTATTAGATTGTACAATTTAGTCAACTCTCCAAGAGATAAAAGTTGTTTGTTTGGAAAATGACCAATCGCAGGCTTCCACAGTTGCTCCTCCCTACTTAAAAGAGTTCACAGAATTAAGTCCTGAATGCAAACTTCCTAGGGTTTTGCAGCCAACAGAAAAAAAAGCCCGTACTATTGAGCCCGTCACGGCAAACATCTTTCTTCTGCAGCAAATAACGCTTAAAGAGGGAAGAGGCGAGCAGACACAACCGCGAGCGCCCGGAAGCCTTTCGCGGCAACATCAAGCAGCCTCCGGAACACCGACAAAGGGGCCCGACCAATAGAGAGCGAGGTTGGCCGTCAGGGACTGTCCCGATTGGTGTAAAGCGCCACCGCTCAAGCAGGCTGAAGTGCAGGTTGGAGTCAAAGTTGGGGACTTTACCCGAGTCCCTCGACGAAGGTGCGACGTGGCGGGTTAGTGAAAACATTGGTGCTGAGAAGGGGTGGTAGCCCAGTCATTGTCTCGGCCCGTAGTGAACAAAGCCGGGGTGGGGAAGCCCCCTTTCGACTCAGTAACGGGTACCCCTTCAGCCAGGCGTTATAGCTCCATGGGTCGGTTGGGAGGAGCATTTGCTTTTCTTTAGGGAACCTTAAGTGTTAAGGCTATTGTCTGAATCGTTCCGTCCCCGTGTTCTTAGCACTATTCTCGGCATCGCGTTGTTTTGGAGAGAAACTACTAAGAAAACTGTGCAGGCGGCTGTTGAGATGTGAACTTGGTCTCCGAGATGCCATGTCTTTTTTTTTTTTTTCTGGCAAGGCAGTTTGCTACGCCGGACTGTTTTCAGAGTGTGTAATTTCTGTTTAGACTTAGAGCGAGCAAATCTGGTCTGCAAAACTCCAAATGGCCACTAGCGAGCAGTAAAGAGAAAACCCCCTGCCAATTGGCGGTTTTGAGATCTAGTTAGTAGCTCTTTTTCGTTCCCATGTATTGTGGTTAAGATCGAATTCACCGGGAGGGCATCAGATTCAAAGTACTTACTTGCTACCTGTAAAAAAAATCAAAAGGTATTGCATTTCTTTTTGCTACTTTTTTATATTAAGAAATGTTTTTATTGATCAGATTTGCCTAAAGGCGGAAGATTTTATACAAAGGGGAGGATATCCAGTCCTGCTTAATGGTTATTTATGTGCTTTGGGGAAGTATTTAAACTAATCATGCGTTTCCCAGTATGTTCCACTTGTAAAACTCTTGTTTGCATAGAATTGAAACTTAGGCCCTACTTTATATTTTTGCAGAAATGGCTGGCAAGAGTCAGGAGCAGACCATTCAAGAAGAATTAACCTGTTCCATATGCTATGACCTCTTCAGGAACCCTGTCATGCTGGAATGCATGCACCATTTTTGTAAAGAGTGTATCCAAAAATACTGGAATAGATGCCCCAGAATTGCCACTTGCCCCCAGTGTCGGCAAAAATTTCCTTCCCGATCCTTTCATCCCAATTTCATTGTATCTAATATAGCGGAGACAGTTCGAAGATCTGCCTCTGAGGAGCACAAAAGGAAAACCAAAGTAAGTAACCATGTGATGAAATCAATTTTCTTCGGCCATTTGGCAAGTAGCATATTTAACATGTGGCACATTGCAATAGAGATCCAGCTTGGGCATCTGGCTATAAACTGAAAGATTATAAATTCTGGTCCTGCCCTTAGGCACAAAGCCTGCAGTCACTGTGCTGTCTCTCAGTTCTAGAAAGCAGGCAACAAGAGCAAGTCACATCTGAAAAACATTGCCATTGCCAAAACATTGAGTCAACAATGACTCAAAGCCACCCAAAAAAGCCTGCAATAAGCCAATATGCCTCTTCCAGGCATGATCAATGAACTTGATTAGTTCCATCTATGATTTATCTGTCTGTATCACAGTCAATAAAACAGGAACTGTGGCTTCTTCCTCTTTCACACATTCATCATGGTTTGTTCTTGGTTTGCATGGCTTCTGATTTTGGTTGGCCTGGAGAAGACAAGCCAGAACTATTCACATGAAAAGATATGTCCATTGCAGATAGAATCATCAAAGGATGTTACTGAGCTATACGCAAACAGATGTTCTGAAACATTGTCCATGGACATATCACACATTTCTAAATGTAGTTTTCCGTGGTGTGTAAATATGCCTAGTATCTTCAATCTAGCAAATACTTAACCACAAAGTTGCAGAAGAAAAGTCAGACAACTTTTGGATCAAGATATTTATATTTTTGTTTTAATTTCATCCTCCCTAGCCCATTTTCAGTCTACTTTGGCAACAGATGGTATTTTTACGATTTCTAAATATTTTTATTATTTTCATAAATAATCTAAGGCAACGAATATACCTAATATTCCTTTCTCCTCCTATTTTCCCCACAACAACCACCCTGGGAGAGTTGGGTTGAGAGAGAACATTATTTTCTCCCTCCACGCTGCATTTTGCTCTATTCCTGTCTTTAACCTGAAGTTCTAATCCTTTGCTTAATTTCCTTCACCTCACCTCATAATGCAGCGCATTCTTTGCAGCGCAATACTGAAGAACAAGAATTTGTTTAGCATCCTGATCTGCCATTGGGACAAACAAAGGTTAGAAGGAAAATTCCTGAGGAAAAGATTGGGACTAAGGTCCTTATGTTTCTGGAGTCTGATTTCCCAACCGTTTGACCAATATTGATTTGTAAAGATGCTTCTTTATAGTCAGGACATGACTGCCAGTGAAAAGGTAGCTCATGGTTCTTTACTAATTGGTTTTTCTTTTTACATGAGAAAAAAGATGGAAAAAGAGGTCACAAGTGAAAGAAAACAGTATTAGAAACCTTTGTTAAATTCCACACACGAGAGCACAGCCAACATTTTGTCTGAAAGCTTTTTAGGTATGGTCCTTTAGCTCAGAGGTTCCCAACCCCCGGTCCATGAACCAGTACCAGGCCGCGGCATGCCCACCAGCAACCGGGTCGCATAAACAAGCAAAGCCCAATCTGTGGGAAGCAGGCAGCACACGAAACCACGCCTCCTACGGTCCGCGGAAAAACCACGTAACCAGTCCCTGGTGCCCAAAAGGTTGGGAACCTCTGCTTTAGCTCATAAGTGGGGTGGGTGGAGGAAGCAAGAAAGAGAGGTCTCCAGCAAATGAATAAAAAAGATGGTGATAAATTCGCCCAGTTTTGGAAAAATGAAAACCTACCATCAGATCAGATTATAATTTTGAAAATCCTAGATTGTGCAGAAATGGACAGATTAACGTTAGAGATGAAGGAGAAAGAAGATTCAATCTTTTATAAAACCTGGGGAAAATTTTATCAGTGGGTTGAAACACGTTAGAATAAGAAGAGATTTTTAGAGCTTTATTATATTAAGTATTAAGGTTGATGATTGGAAATAGT